CCCCTTCCCAAAATTACTTCAACGGAAGGTTTCCAGATGGATATGCGGAGCAAATCCATCTGTCAGAGTCAGGTTAGTTAAATTCAGTTACAGAAGAGAATAAACTGTAAAGTTTAAAATAATTGCACATTAAAGGTGCTAGTTTTTAGTTTACTTTATTGTAACATTTAATTTAATCCTGTTGACTGTTTAGTTGTTGAAAAGGTTGGAGCAAGGTTAGAGATATACTGTAGATTTTCTGGTAAACAAAAAGGAGACTCGGCAAGAAGTCTAGGTGCATCCAATATAAGAAAACAAGCAAAATATCGGCTTCAACAATCTGCCCAAAAACATTGGCAGCACATGTCAGGGATCGGTTAGACCAGTGGTTCCCAATCCCGCTCCTCAGGATCCACTGTCCAGCATGTTTTAGACGTTTTCATGCTTCACTTGGCTTAAATAACTGGATGATTAAGAGGCTACTTGAGTCCTTCATGGCTGCTGAGGAGGTACTGCAATCATTTGATGCAGGTGTTTCGGAGCAGAAACACATATAAAGCATACAGAACAAGGGATCCTGAGAGCCAGGGTTGGGAGCCCGTGGCTTAGAATGGTGACAAATAATTGGTATCTGCCATAAAAAACAATTATCCGTTGATCTGTAATACAAATCCAAAATAAACAAAACAGAATAAGGTCTGTATTTGCTGAAATTAGATTGGCATCTGTAGGTCCAGATTTAAAAATTAAATCACTTTGTCAACTCAGTAGCATTTTTATTTTTTGATACATTTTTTTTTTTTTTTTGCATGAAAAGGTTTTGGGGAATTACAACACAATCAATCTTCAGCTGGGAATTACAGCAATCCTACCATAGAAACACACCGGATTTTTCCTGATGGATTCATAAATATTGTTGTCAACAAGCGTTTTGTTTGTGTGCTGCTGTATTACATCGTCAATCAATCATTGTTAGTGGTGTTTTTCAGCCTCTCAGTGAAATACAAGAAACAACTCACGTATATTTCATGGTTACATGAAATAACATGCTTTACATTACATGTTCTGAAATCTGTTGCTCCTGTTAAAGGGGAGAGAGAGCAAAAGTCTTGGTATCTTAATATCTTTTTTGTACAAGGTATTCACAATAAAAACGAATAATTTAAACCTAGAAACTTACCTTTGCATTTTAGGGACAACTATTTATTCACTATAAAGGCTCATCATCTCCTAAGGTCTAACACAGCAGGGATTCAGAGATAATCTTTAGATGACTGCTCTGTTTTACAAAATAACAAAGAAATTCCTCCTTCTAAATTCTTGCAGATTGAACTTTCATCTATTTTGTCGCAAGGAGAGACAACTCTGTCCAGTCTGGTCCAGAGAGGTCAGGAGCTTGCAGCAAGGTTGCAGGTGCTGCAGGTCGATCGCAGGGAGATGGCTTGTCTCAAGTTTCTCCTTCTGTTTAATCCCAGTAAGTCATCCTCATGATTGCGTTTCATCAGTAAACTGAACATAGATGTATACTCATTTCTAACAAAAGATAAACCATAACAGTTTTCTTGTTCTATGTATGTCATAAATAAGAAACGGTGGCTTTGATGTTTGCTGTGGATTTTTTTCTTTGTCACATTGGAATGGAAGGTCTGCATACAGAGTGATGCATTAAGGAAAAAATAATCAATGCAAAAATGATGAAGGATTTGAGTAACCATTTCCATGTGGATTCACCATTTAAATAGCTACACAGACATCTTAATGAAAGAATGTCCCAAAAACAGATAATCTGTGGTTTCTATTAATATAAGTGTTTTTCAGCATGGCCTTTCTCCCTACAATGAATTCACTTAATTAAGTGTCTTAGCTTGACAAAACCAAATATTAACAAAAGCAACCTTTTCCATTGTCCACTAATGGCATTCAAAAGAAGAGTAATGGATGGGTTTATCATTTGATAGCAAGACTGACATTCATGTAGTGGCTTGTGCAGATGGAGAGAGCATAGATGTGGCTTGCCCAGATTCCCAGAAGTGTTCCCTGTTCTGTGCTGGCAAAGCAGGGAACAAAGAGCTTTTGAACAGTGAGAGCACTCGTTATACACAGAAAATATTTGCCGTCTTTGGCAGCAGCTTCTTCGCTCACGCTCTTGCTCTGCCTCATCCTAAGAGTCATATTTGTTGGGGGTAATTTAATTGCCCTTAAGCAGTTTGAAAAGATGATTCAGAGCATTGATTCAAAACATTTAATTACTGTGTGAATGGATTCTCTGAGATGGGCTCAGCTGATGGTGAATGCTATTCAGCTGCAGGGCAAGGCTATTGTTTCACATACACACAGAAAGAAAGACACACACACCCACACACTCCATTGACACGGAAAAAAAAAACATAGAGGGACCTTTGCATATATTCATTTAAGTTATAAAATGCATAATTGAGTACAGCAGCATACCTCAGTGAGCTGCATGCTGGTGCAAACTATACCAATGAATGAATTCAAACGGTTTCATATTCAAACAGAATATTGTTTAATTGGATTTATTGAAAATGGATTTACTTTACAATAACATCAGAAAATGTTCTGTTTTAAGGTTAAATATTCTGTTAACTTCTGTATAACATGATTTACATACTTGATTTATGTACTAGGGCTGAAACAATTAATCGATTATTGAAATAATCATCAACTAATTTAATAATTGATAAGTCGTTAACTGGAGTATAGAGACTGTAAAACATCCCTTTAGTTGACAGAGCAACCCACGTAGAGCATTAAGTATGTGAAAATAAAAAAAAGAAAACACATAAACATTTTGCATTTAAGATACAAAAAACAAAATAATTTTCGTCTGTCAATAAGCTCTATCCAGAACACCTCAAGTTTTTATGAAATTCACTGGGTTTAATTTTATAAAAAGTCTTCTTTAAGGAAACTTCGGCCATTCCGATTATTAATTGATTTGCAAAATAATTGTTAGTTTCAGCCCTATTATAAACCTTCACATACTTCCTGAGACTAAATAAATAGATTCTTACTTTTAATAAATACTTTTCCACTAAAAGAATTTTCCTTTTCTCTATTCTTTGCCTATAATTTGGGTGAATGTTTTAATACACTCAATCAATGCCACAGCTATTAAAGGAAGAATAAATCAATTAGTAATTTTTGTTTCCTCTGTAAAATATATTTGATCAGCTAAGTTTCTAAATTACTAGCAGAGGCAAAAGTAAAGAAATTGACCGTCATGGTCATGTTGCCAAAAATGTGTGTAGCATCTGCTGCTGTCCACGTTAACAGTTGCAATTTTTATTTTTCTGCAAACTTTTAGTTTTTCTGTTTCATTCTGCTTTGACAAGATGGATTGGATCATTTTCTGTGAATGTGTTGTTTTAAATTATTATTATTTATATCTTTAATTTATCATCTTATATATCTCGCAGTTAGCTTCATTTATCCTCTGTGTGTTTCCAGATGTAAAACTACTGGAGAACCAGGCATTTGTAGAGGGCGTGCAGGAGCAGGTGAACTCAGCTCTCCTTGAATACACCCTGTCCACCTACCCTCAGTTTCAGGATAAGTTCAGCCAGCTGGTTGTGCAGCTGCCCGAGCTGCGCTCCCTCAGCACGCAGGCTGAGGACTACCTTTGCTACATGCATCTGAACGGAGAGGTAACCTGCAACAACCTGCTCATCGAGATGTTGCACGCTAAGAGAGCGTGTGTGTGAAGAACAAGAACGCAGAAATGTTCTACCACCAAGTGTTAAATTGTGCGAGACTGTGCGTGCGCAAGTAAGACAGAATGTGTGTGGACATAAAAAAAATAAAAGTTTTCACACTGGGTCATCTTTGTTAAGGCTTTTCCTAAGGTCGGAGGGCAAAAAAGATGTTTCAGAGTTTGAATGTTTCCATTTTCATATCCTGCACAGCTACTTTAACATGACCTTAAAACTGGATTTCCTCTCTGCAAACATCTGAAATTGGGTTTATGGGGGAAGTTAGATTCTTTTTCATTAAACATAAATAAGACCAGTTTAAGAGCACAGTCAAGTTATTGTATATACCATGAAGCTGCAGAGCTGATGTCTACAGGGACCTAAAACTAAATTCCCATTGACACACTGAACCTGACTTCTAGCTGTGAAATGTTCTCCTGAGGGTTGATGGGAGGACTGCCTGTTTGTCAGGCTTTTTTTTTTTACATCCCAGTTTGATGCCTTCTTATAGAAATCACATTTGTGCTGCCTGCAACAAGATCTTCTGTAAAGAAGTTTGTTTTAGGTGCAAGACTGGAAGTAGAACATTCTATTTAAATAGAAAAGACTTTATAATTATTGTTGTATAAATTATAATGCATCAAGGATTTCAGTGAGGTGCTGATCAACATGACAATCAAAAATCTAACTGTCATACTCCTCACTTCCATGAGCGCTTTTTGAACTTTATAGAAACGTCCCCCTCTTAGGGTTAATAAATCCTATAAATGTCTGAAGGCTGTAAAATAAGGATATTTACCAAAGTTAAAACAACAACCACTGAAGCTGAAATGTGTGACATGTCTTAAATCTTTCATACAAATTAATATAACATGTTCTTATCAGAGTAGATAAGAACACACATACTGCCTTTAACCCTACAGGCAGCATCTTTCTGTTTTGTAGAATAGTGTTTTTATCTATTTATTTTGAAAATGTGATTAATCAAAACGTTTTTCTTATCAAAAAACATTCCAATTGAACTGAAAATCCATCACAAAGAAAACAACAAAAAGAATTAAAAGACAGAAAGAGTAATAAAGTGAACGCTGATTAAAAAATAGCAAAAGGATACTTTTCAGAGATATGAAAAAACAAATATGAGCAAGCCAGGACAGAGGAAGTATATTGAAGATGGAAATCCATGAGAAAATGTTAGGATACAGTAATTAAAAAGACAACAGTTTGGGAAATGGGAAAATGTTGTGGAAAAGCCTGTCCTTCAGTTTTCCCTAACAGCACAGAGCCGACTGACGGTTATTTGGCAGAATATTGACTTCTCTGTATAATCTGAACTTATTATTTAGGTTTTCAAAATGCTGGAAACAATTAAACCTCAGAAATGATGATGGTTCATTCTCATTTATCTGTCAACCAAAGATGGACTCATCTGTGCAAAAATAGACTAACACTGGTTTACTATTTGCCTCATGATAAACCAACCCATTACAAAAACAACAACAAAAAGCCATGTATGGGGATACCTTCTCTCCTTGTCCCACTTGTATACCTCCCCTGAGCTTAATCCCATTCTTATTCAGATACAAATAGAATGCCTTCTTGCATTAATGCCCTTCACCTCCATTAACATCCTTGTTCTTTTCAGTTTCACCACAAAGTATTCATTGTTTATTAGGCTTTTTAAAGATGTAGGCTCTGGCATATCTGATTATTCTTCTTTGCAAAATAGCTTACGCTCATTAGAAAACACATGTGAACAGCAACATTACTACTTTCACAGATCAATCAAGTTTCTGACTTAGACATTCTACCATATAAATGGGCTTTGATCTAAACCAGGCCTTTGCAGCCGAAAATGAGCTGATGGGTTTCCATTTCACACCTTGTCAATTTTGTAGACATATATATTTTACACCAATTTTCTTATTTACAAAGAGTATTTTTACAGTTTGGTAGGTCTGTTTACAGAATGACAAAAAAAAGAGATCAGATTTAATCCAGTCTTGATCTGAGACTTTTATTTACCCTTAGAGGAAGTTTGCAGTCAGGCTCTGCTCTTGTAAACAATGTAGCCACCTAGCTGGTAGGTGATGAAGGAGATTAGTTAGTCTTAATACAGTACATTTGCACATCAGTCCTTTTAAAACGAGGATGTAAGTGAGACATAAGTGCAGATATTGATAGTGATACAGTGATATGACAGCAGTCACTGTGAGACACTACTGACCCTTATTAATTTAAATGGACAGGTGGCCCAGTTTTGGTGAAGGAAGGCGTAACAACCATCTCTCATACTGACAGTTGCAAACTTTTAAACAACTAGAAAACAGTGAGTCCAAACACAACCATAAACTCGTCTAGCTAAAAACCTTGCTCTGTTTGTGAAACTTATTTTGTTAAAACAGTAACACTCGTGTTTGTCCCACACTGGTCTCCTAGTTGTGTTTAAAAATAATAAGAAAAAAAAAACATTGAAAAACACTCCAATCAAACTGACAGTGACAATACTTTCTGCTCCCGTCTGTCACCGGAGTCAGTGAAAACAAAGAAACAAAGTGGTGTTTGTATTATTGTGCAGCTCAACTTTCCTACTGTTGCCATGTCAGATTAGTCCTTGTTTGCCATTTCAAGGTATCATAGACAATCATTCCGTCTGCCTTAATTCAGTGACTGCCTGAACACACACGCACCTTGGTTTTCCAGCTGAGACAGCAGCCGTCACTCTGTACAGTAAATTTATGTTGTGAAGTGAATATCTACTACACTATGAGGACACATTCAACACAAAACTCTTACCTGCTTTATGTTGAGGTCTAAGCGCTACTGTTGTGAAACTGATTCTCTTGATATTGTTTTTGGTTCTTGCTTTGTCTTCTTTTTCTTCTTGTGAGTCAATTGTAAACTGAAATGTCTTTCTCCTAAAATAGAAATCTGCATTTTTCTTTAGATATATTTTATTGTTATAACAACAAAACAATAAATTCAACAAATTTAAGCATGTGTTGTGGTGTCTTTTTTTTACTCGGTAGTCATCATTTAATTCCAATGATTCAAGCCCTGAGGACAAGCCCTGTCCCCCATCAGATTACACCACCTCATTCCACACATATAAACACAGCTAAATGGTAAAACAGTACATTCTTTTGAATATACTGTTTTTATTAAAACAGATTCAGTCCTCAATAGCCTCTAAAATTATACACATTTATCAACAAGTGTACAAAACATACAAGATAATCCTGATATATGATACATTCACCATCAAGCAAAAATAACATTTTAGAGATATTGAAGATCGGCCTGTTTTTCTGCGTAGTCCTGTTTCTCTGACTGTGACCCGGTGGATGTGCTCTCATCATCCTCTGACATGGGAGCTGGCTCGGAGCTCGTCTGCCTGGCTGTGTGTTTCCTGGACGGAGCCGCGTTTTATAGTTTCCTTTTTTATATCTGCTTCTTTCTCTTTGTCTGCTTCTGTCTCCTTGAACCCCAGTTGGTCTTAGCAGATGGCCGCTCACACTGAGCCTGGTTCTGCTGGAGGTTTCCTTCTGTTAAAATTGAGTTTTCCTCTCCACTGTTGCTACGAGCATGTGTAGTGTGAGGGATTGCCTTCCAGTTGAAGCGATCAACTGGATTTCATTAGATAGAAAACTTTGAATCAATTTGACTGTATGATCTGGTTGAACTGTAAAGTGCCTTGAGATGACTTGTGTTGTGAATTGGCGCTATAGAAATAAAATGAATTGAATTGAATAAAGTTAATTTGAATAGTATTTTTATTAATAGTTATTTAAATTTTTTATGCTTTCAGAGGTTTTTAGAAGAAAGGAAAACAACTTTGATTTCCTGAACAGTTGTGGTAGTTTGTTGGTTTTAAGCATTATAGCAATATTAACGTGACAAAGTCAATGATATAAGCGTTGACCTGGTTGGAGGAGCTGTTTCTTTGCATCAATATATAGGTAATGTTATATGATTTATGAAACAATACATTTTTTTTATATTGACTACGTCTTCTGCAGTTAAAAGACAACACACTCTACATTGTGGAAAATACAAGGTTGTGATTGGAAGCCTTACGTGAAACCTGTGCTGGCCAGGTGGATAGTTAGAAATGTGAAGCAGAATGCAAGGATCAATCCTCCAAGGCCATCCAGAGGAGTCTGGGTTCAGACACTGCACACTACTGAGTTTAACAGATGCACACCAAGGAGGACTCTACTTCCCAAGATAAGGCACAGAAAAGCCAGCTAGCCTTTGCAAAGTTTCACCCTGATAAAGATGGAGACTTATTCACTTCTGTTTTCTGTTCCTGGTGGTGGCAGAAGTATAAAGCATATGTGGTGTTTTTCAACCAATGAACCAGGGAACCTGATGATAGCAAACGCTATCATGAAAAAGTGGAAAACTTGAACTTTCTCATCAATAACATCAGGCAGCCTGCTGAGAAACTTGGCTTGGGACATTTTAAAAAAACAACGGCCTGAAAACACACAGCAAAACTGATGAAGAAATAAATGGTTGGTGGTAAAACATTTATGCTTTAGCCTTAAGAAAGATCAGGGTGGTGGAAAGAAGTCCCCCACCCTCCCCCCCAAACTACAAGAGTTGGTGCAACAGATTTATAGGCCAGAATACTAATAGAAAATAGAAAAATCTGACTATTACTAGAAACCATCAAGGGCATTCTTACAGTATTAAGGAGGGTAAGATTACTTTTAAACATCACAGTTTTTGTTCAAATCTAAGTAAATGAAACGTCTCTTTTTGCCTGTTGTCCCATGACACTGTCTTGACAACTGTATATTATTCATTAACCAAGAATTTTTTTTATAAAAGTTCAAATCTCCCAGGGGTATAAAAAAAATCATCTTTGTGCTTTTATTTTGCTGTTGGACCATGAAGGATATCGTGACTGTCTTCTATTCTATTCTATTCTATTCTATTCTATTCTATTCTATTCTATTCTATTCTATTCTATTCTATTCTTTCATTCTATTCTACTCTTTCAGCTCTTTTCCATATCATGATTCTGTCCACCCTGATAACTGAACTAACTGCTTACTTCATTCACCTGCCTAACCCTCCCTGGTTACTAATTATCACTCATCTAATCCACCTGCTCCTGCTGCTTTATATATGACTCAGCCCAGCTATCAGGGCCATATCTTTAAAGATGTTTGTTCATTTGAGTTTAAGTTGGAAATCATGGCTCATTTCCAGAGTTCATGTTCTCATTCTCAGTGGCCAGTGGTTAGAGTGGAGTTTTTAGCCTTGCTTTAGTGTTTCCTGATCATGTCATCCACTGGGGTGCCCTGTTCCCGTTTTGGCTCAGTGGAGAGAGCTAGTTTAAAGTTCCATGGTTTTCCTCATGTTATGTCTTGTTCTTCCTCTCAACTACTGAGCCTACCTGTCTGCATCTCAACATTTCTGCCTGAACTCTCTGTTGGAGTCTTGAAACACTGAACCTGCCTGAACTCTCAGTGGACAAATCAAACAACGGATCTGCACGTTCCAGTTCTGATCGGAGCCCCTGACTGGGCTATAGACTCCTGGATCTCCGAACCGTCCTGTTCTGATCTGTTTCCCTGACCTGGGTCGGACTCCTGCCTGTTCACTGGGGCTACTCCATCAAGTAAAATTTGGGTAGCTCTCGCAGCATTTCGTTTGGCAGTACACCAGCTGGATCCTGCCTTGCCTTGAGAGGATGGACTGAACTGTTAAACCAGGTAAATGACTGACATGGATAATCATCTTCCGTCAGATTATCGTGGCCACTTATACCTGCTTTTCTGCCTAACCAGAGTGCCAGTGATGGGTGGGGCCACGCCTGCCCCCGCAGCCGCTGCAGATCCACAGCGCTTTTTTGTTCGGTTTTTTATTAACCATTTCAAATCTTCCCACTGTCTTTCTCACCTTGAATATTGGGTCCTACGTGTCATGAATCGGGGACAGATGGACCCAGTATTCAGGAGAGACAGTCGGTAGGAAAGTTCAAAAGGTTTATTAAAATAAAAACAAAACAAAAGCGGAGCTGTGGCTCGTGGACACTGCAGGCAGGGGGGGCGGGGCACCGCCCAATCTCAGACACTCTAGGGGAGGAAACACAGGTAAGTGACCACGATAAACTGATATATGATTATCTGGGTTGGTCACTTACCTGGTTTAACAGTCCAGACCACGAGTGTCCCCAGTGCCGCAGTCCCCGAGGCCATGCCGGAAGCCGACCCCGGCGAGGGATCCAGAACAGACAGGAACAGGCAGGAACAGGCAGGATCCAGAC